ATTTTGATGAAAAACCAATGAAATTTACATAAGCGTTTCATTGAAAGAATGTGGTTTATTTTTGACATACAAATATCGGATTTCTACAGCTTCTAAATTTAAGATTAGATGTAGTTCAAAGTAGTCAAAAATGAACAACATCCCTCCAATGACACGCCAATGTAAAATTCATAGGGTTTTCACCTGAATTTAAAGCACTTCGGGTTACTAGTTGTGATGAAAATTCTACATCTTTTTCCACACTTTTTTTGCTGGGAACATTATATGTATTTAAAATAATAATTTGCATTGAATAATCATTAGACTAATGGGCATAATTAAATGCAGAAATAGTACGTGAGCATTGTGAAATAAATTCAAAAACAATCAATAAATTTATTTTAATTTGGGTCATAATAATATGTACTATAGAAAACACAATGTTTTATATTAACAGGATAGTGTTTTGTAAATTTTCAATAGAGAAAATGCTATTAAATGGAAAGTTCTATGAAAATTACTTTTAAACCTTCCAAAGCGGATAACTTCCGGTCTTATAGAAATATTCGTAATATCCCAATAAACCAAACGATATTATAACGATATCGAAACGATATCCCTTAGGTGATAAAAAATATCATAAGTGATAGTCGTTCTCGTATCGAGAACGATAGTATTTACGTACTAAATGGTACCTTTCCTTATGATATCGTTTTTCCATAAAATTATGATATCGTTTTCGCTATCATAATTTCCAAAAATAATGATAGTTAAATCGCCTTTTTCAGTTTTTTTTTCTGTATGCTCTTTTATTCTTAAAATTTCATTTAAAACGCTATTTAACTTAATATTTCGCTATTATACATATAAAAAAGCCTGAAAAGGGAAGGATTGCATTCATTTGTACATATTTACATACATACATTAATACATATTTTAAAGTAATCATATTTTTCATCACATTATGCATTGTCTTGCAAATACCTGAAACTTTTCAAAATTGCATACATGTCAACTTACCACAAAACTGAAGTATCGAACGAAATTCGCGTATTTATTTGGATTATTTATTAATAATTTAGTTGATTTTATTTTAATATCCTTTTTAGTTTTCTTATGTTCGAAAATTTTTATTGAAATTATTTTTATGTTTGAAGTTTTTTTCAAATGTTTGTATTTTCTTAATTTTTTTATTGGAAACAAAATAATATAAAACGATATTATAATAATATCGTTTTAAAAAATGAAATATGATATCATAATCGCCCTTTAAAAGCAATACCGTTTTCGCTATCATATCGTTCTTTGGTTTATTGGGATCTTAATAAATCGAATTTAATACACGTGTTCTACATTATGCGAAAAGTGTAAAATAATTAACAATTTTAATATATTTATATCGATATAAGTAATCTGAACAAAAGAGAAAATATCACTAAAATTACTAAACAATTAAATGCCCAAAAAATAACATAAATTTTTATTAAATTAAATAAATATTCTTACAAAAACCCACAAAACATTTAAAATCATGTTTAATCTAAAAACACGTAAAGTTAACAACATCAATTAACACCTGATTCCATTCACACTTTTTATCTCTCGCCTGTTGATGTTATTTTAATTTTTGTTGATGTTCCATTCAATGATTTTTCCGATGTTTCCGATGTGGGTTGTTTGGTTAATTTGTTTACTCATGTCACACAACAAAAAAAAAAAAAAACACTAAAAACAATTATAAATTAGTGCGGCAGAGAGGAAGTATTTAATTTGTTTAATCGTTTTAAATAAATTAAATCAATACGAGAGTAACAATTTAATATAAAACATTATAATTTCGATGAAAACAAAAAAACGAATAGCAGGCATACTTTTAAAATACCTGCTTAAGTTCAAGATCAGTTAAAATTTAAATATATTTGATTTGTTAAAAGTCATTTAAGTAAATTGCATATTATATTTATTAATGAGTTTTTTCAAGCTAATTTTTTATATATTAAAATATTTTTTTTTGGATTTTCCATAATTTATGATCTGGCTCTATTAGTACTAAATAATAACAAAACTATTAGCACATGGAAGGTTTAAACATTTATTACATATTTTTAATGTCCGTTACTGCTAGACTTGTTTTCCATATACTCTAGACTCTAAAGTATTACTCTAAAGTATTTATGAACTACAGTCTAATCTAAACACTGTACTATGAATAGGCTATAGTTTAGACTATTGTCTAGTCTATAACTTAATCTATAGTTTATAATTTAATATAGGTTTAGACTATATTCTAGTCCATAATTTAGACTATAGTCTACAATCTTAATATTATATCACTTTATAACCCAGTTTATAGTCTAGAATATTCTCTAGTGAAGAGACCAGAATATTGTCTAGTCTTAACAGTCACTTTATTCTTTAATCTAGTATATATTCTAAAATATAAGCTAGTCTACAATTTAGTCCAAAGACTAGTCTATAGTCTAGTCTATAATCTAGTCTATAGTCTAGTCTATAGTCTAGTCTATAGTCTAGTCTAGTCTATAGTCTAGTCTATAGTCTAGTCTATAGTCTAGTCTATAGTCTAGTCTATAGTCTAGTCTATAGTCTAGTCTATAGTCTAGTCTATAGTCTAGTCTATAGTCTAGTCTATAGTCTAGTCTATAGTCTAGTCTATAGTCTAGTCTATAGTCTAGTCTATAGTCTAGTCTATAGTCTAGTCTATAGTCTAGTCTATAGTCTAGTCTATAGTCTAGTCTATAGTCTTGTCTATAGTCTAGTCTATAGTCTAGTCTATAGTCTAGTCTATAGTCTAGTCTATAGTCTAGTCTATAGTCTAGTCTATAGTCTAGTCTATAGTCTAGTCTATAGTCTAGTCTATAGTCTAGTCTATAGTCTAGTCTATAGTCTAGTCTATAGTCTAGTCTATAGTCTAGTCTATAGTCTAGTCTATAGTCTAGTCTATAGTGTAGTCTATAGTCTAGTCTAAAGTCTAGTCTATAGTGTAGTCTATAGTCTAGTCTAAAGTCTAGTCTATAGTCTAGTCTATAGTCTAGTCTATAGTCTAGTCTATAGTCTAGTCTATAGTCTAGTCTATAGTCTAGTCTATAGTCCAGTCTATAGTCTAGTCTATAGTCTAGTCTATAGTCTAGTCTATAGTCTAGTCTATAGTCTAGTCTATAGTCTAGTCTATAGTCTAGTCTATAGTCTAGTCTATAGTCTAGTCTATAGTCTAGTCTATAGTCTAGTCTATAGTCTAGTCTATAGTCTAGTCTATAGTCTAGTCTATAGTCTAGTCTATAGTCTAGTCTATAGTCTAGTCTATAGTCTAGTCTATAGTCTAGTCTATAGTCTAGTCTATAGTCTAGTCTATAGTCTAGTCTATAGTCTAGCCTATAGTCTAGTCTATAGTCTAGTCTATAGTCTAGTCTATAGTCTAGTCTATAGTCTAGTCTGTAGTCTAATCTATAGTCTAGTCTATAGTCTAGTCTATAGTCTAGTCTATAGTCTAGTCTATAGTCTAGTCTATAGTCTAGTCTATAGTCTAGTCTATAGTCTAGTCTATAGTCTAGTCTATAGTCTAGTCTATAGTCTAGCCTATAGTCTAGTCTATAGTCTAGTCTATAGTCTAGTCTATAGTCTAGTCTATAGTCTAGTCTATAGTCTAGTCTATAGTCTAGTCTATAGTCTAGTCTATAGTCTAGTCTATAGTCTAGTCTATAGTCTAGTCTATAGTCTAGTCTATAGTCTAATCTAGTCTATAGTCTAGTCTATAGTCTAATCTAGTCTATAGTCTAGTCTATAGTCTAATCTAGTCTATAGTCTAATCTAGTCTATAGTCTAGTCTATAGTCTAGTCTATAGTCTAGTCTATAGTCTAGTCTATAGTCTAGTCTATAGTCTAGTCTATAGTCTAGTCTATAGTCTAGTCTATAGTCTAGTCTATAGTCTAGTCTATAGTCTAGTCTATAGTCTAGTCTATAGTCTAGTCTATAGTCTAGTCTATAGTCTAGTCTATAGTCTAGTCTATAGTCTAGTCTATAGTCTAGTCTATAGTCTAGTCTATAGTCTAGTCTATAGTCTAGTCTATAGTCTAGTCTATAGTCTAGTCTATTAGTCTATCTAGTCTATAGTCTAGTCTATAGTCTAGTCTATAGTCTAGTCTATAGTTTGTCTATAGTCTAGTCTATAGTCTAGTCTATAGTCTAGTCTATAGTCTAGTCTATAGTCTAGTCTATAGTCTAGTCTATAGTCTAGTCTATAGTCTAGTCTATAGTCTAGTCTATAGTCTAGTCTATAGTCCTAGTCTATAGTCTAGTCTATAGTCTAGTCTATAGTCTAGTCTATAGTCTAGTCTATAGTCTAGTCTATAGTCTAGTCTATAGTCTAGTCTATAGTCTAGTCTATAGTCTAGTCTATAGTCTAGTCTATAGCCTAGTCTAGTCTATAGTCTAGTCTAGTCTAGTCTATTAGTCTAGTCTATCTATGTCTAGTCTATAGTCTAGTCTATAGTCTAGTCTATAGTCTAGTCTATAGTCTAGTCTATAGTCTAGTCTATAGTCTAGTCTATAGTCTAGTCTATAGTCTAGTCTATAGTCTAGTCTATAGTCTAGTCTATAGTCTAGTCTATAGTCTAGTCTATAGTCTAGTCTATAGTCTAGTCTATAGTCTAGTTTAGTCCTACAGTTTGGTCAATATTCTAGTTTAGTCTGTAGTCTAGTCAATATTCTAGTCTAGTGTGTAACTAGTCGAATCTTTGATCTATAGTCTAAAATAGTCTAATCTGTTTTATTGCCTAGTCTTTAGTCGTTGGTACATTCTACTATTTAACGAAATACAAATTTTTTCATTTAATATATAAAGAATTTAAATTTCAAATTAATATTCAAATCTTTTAAAACCGTTACATTTTTCCACGTACATTCCTCTAAAACTAGCTCTTTCTCTTTTACAAATACAACTTTACCGTGTAGAGACGGCCAATTACATGACGACAAGCATATGCTTGCGCACACACAACGAGTATAAAAAACGAACGAATAAGAACAACAAAAAACAATATTTAATCGAAACGTTGTCAGCACTGAACGGTAGCAAGAGGAAAAATAGATTCAGAAAAATCCAGAACACAGACGTAAAATTTTGTATAGAAGTTTAGCTAAATAAAAATTGGCGTTTTGGCCACGCAATATAAAGAGTCCTTAAAAAATACAATTAACTATTTTTTTATTTAAATATAAATTAATAATAAAACAATAAACAGCAACAAATATGACTCGTAAGTATAAAAAAGAAAATTTATGAAAGAAAAGTGTTTTTTTTTCGTGGTTGAAGAAAATTTATCTGCACTAAAGGAAATAGAAATTTGAAAAAATAAGTAATTTAAATTTTTTTTATTTAATGGTGTCAATTGTTTAATTTGTAATTGTTTTTTTTTTATTAATAAAGTGTTCTAAATTTGTTTTTGTTTGGTGCGTGTTTTAAGTTATTTTTAAATTTAGAAAAAAATTGATTTTGTTTGCAATTGTGAAGTACTATTGATTTCATTGCCAATTTTTGTATTTTCTAATGGGGATTTTTGTATTTTTTTTTTTTTAAATTTTAGGTGGAAATCAACGTGATTTAGCCCGTCAAAAGAACGCCAAAAAACAAGCTGAATTAAATAAAGGCAAACGTAATGACAATTTAACCGTTGAACAACGTAAACAAAGGTATTTTTTTAATAAATTTTATTAGACTTTATTAGTTTATGCATTTTTATTATTTCATAATTCCATTGATATTCATATAATTATGATTTCCTGTTTTGAATTTATGTATACCGGGTCATTGACCTTTGCCATTTGATTTGGTTAAGAAACAGATTTGAAGTGGTTCAAAAAGTGCTTTAAATAAAAATTTTAAAGTTTAATTTTGTTGAAAATTGAAGATATTACTATTTATTTTACGAATTATAATTTTGAAACAATTAGCGCCTTTAGTAGATGTCGAATTAGTTGATCGTAACGTTAACGTAATGCAGTATATGTACTACACTACATTTCATTAAGGGAAAGATAGCAGTAAGTTCTTTTATATGCAAATAGAGCATCATAAAAAGTCTGCTATGTCCTTCTATAGATAATGCAACTATCATTGCCGACTTACATTTAGACATCATAGGTATGATGGCAAGAAAATGTTAATTTATAGACTAAAATCTGATATATTTATTATCAGTTATCTTGACATCTAATGGGTGAAGGTCTCTTGTCTAAGTTAGATCAGTTCACCAGTACAAAAAGTGTTATAAAGGAAACGAATTTACATATTTTGGATTCCGCGATAGAAGAATTGCTAAGCTTCTGTTGTAATTTTTACAAAGGGATCAACATGGACCCGAGCAAAGCCGGATTTAGCTACCTTTTGTTATCATGATGGCATTATACGATTTTATATCAATTATCCCTATTATGATCTGGCTAGATAGCAGCATCTCATAATTGATAGACCATCTTTGGTCCCATCAAATGCAGAGCATTACTTTAACGACATGGATACTTGGGATATCGTAATGGATCCATTCTTCATCGCAAGTACAGATTTGAAAGCAGTTCTCAATGGATATGAAGGTTCTTTTTAGTTGGTCATGGATTCTCATAAAGTACTGCTTCGAATTCCTGCGGCAGCTTTTTCAAAAGTCAATTTTAATTTTATTCAAAATTTATGAGTTAAATAGAGAACAAGTGTCAGTATCGTATGACAAAGAAGATTACTGATGAGTTGTGGGCCTGAAAATGCCATCCTAACTGTTGATGTGTCCAATAAAATTTAATTTTTTTTAGTATTATAATTAAAAATATCATTACAATTTGGAAAAAAATTATCATTAAGTGGGACTGGAATACATGTTAAATGGACTGCTGTTGATTCACTTCACAAAAGGTCTTGCTTAATTGCAGTTGGCTAAAGCAAAGACACAGAGTAATGATAGATAAGAATATAACAATGAAAAAGCTCATAAACTTCGATCTAAATCAATAAAGTACAATGTAACTTGAATAAGGGCTTTGTCACAGTTCCCGTATTCCATTCATAGGAAATTAGAATCATAACTTTAGATTTAGATTTTATGTGTTATAACTTGTAATACTCCCTAGATATTATATTTTGTTCTTCCCGGCTAAAAACCTGATGTCATAGGTATTTGAACTTTTTGCAAATACAATGAAAAAAAGTTATTATTATCAAACCAAGACAAAATATTTCATTTAAAGTCTACAAAAACAAATATATGCAGACCTCAGAGATTGCGAAATTTTAATTCAAACATTTTGTTCTTAAAACTTCTAGATTATAAAATGTTACACGTTTTAATATTTCTCTAAACATATCTTTTATTAGCTACCTTAATTTGCATTAATCTATATGAATATTTAAATTTCGCAAAATATTTTTTGCAAACCAAAAAAACAGTTAATAGCATAAATCAGCCTGATTTAGTTTCAGTTTTCTTAAGAATTTTTTTATTTATAATTTATGTTAATTATTCAGATTAGTTTTTGATAGTAGTGGGGTTTTGTTACTATTTTTTATTGTTTATTTTTTTGAAAAATATAAAAATAACTAAACAAATCTAATTTAAATTAAAAAGTTTAAGTTTTTTGCTTAAAACTAATTTCTTTTTTGGGAAAAGTCTAGATGTTTTTTTTTTCTGCTTCATTAACAAGTTTCATTAAAAGTTTTTACGATTTTAAATATTTTCCAGTATTGACTCATAAATAATCTACAAATATGTTTTCTTATTTTTATTAAGAATTATGTGTAATTTAATGAAATTTGTTTTTTTTACTTTCATCACATTCTTCTATTAAAAATCTTCATATTTCATTATTGTTTACTTATAATATTTGCTTACAAAAGTGAAACACTTGTGATCTTATTATTCAATAAAATAATCTATTAAAAGCTCAAATTAAAACTTTAAATACACAATAACATAGGGTAATAAGCAGTGTTTAATTGTTATTGTTATAAACTAGAATTTTCATAAACTTTTCAAGCTTAATTTATTCTAACGCAACTATTTTTATAACTTGAGAAGGTTATAGACCTAGTCTGCAGTCTATAGTATAGTCTATAGTGTATTCTGCAGTCTAGTATGCATTCTAGTCTACAGTCTGGTATATAGTCTAGTCTATATTCTAGTCTACAGTGTAGTCTACAGTCCAGTCTGGACTTTAGTCTAGTCTATAGAATATTGTCTGGTCTTTAGTTTATTCTTAAGTATAGGCTTTAGTCTAGTCTATGGTGTAGTCTACAGCCCAGTCTATAGTGTATTTTATAGTCTAGTTTAAAGCCTAATCTATTCTAGGGTCTAGTATAGTCTAGTCTAGACTATAATCTAGTCTGTAGTCTAGTCTATAGTGTAGTCTATAGTCCAGTCTGTAGTCTATTCTGTAGGCTAGTCTATAAGCTAGTCTATACTATAGTCTATAGTCTAGTCTATAGCCTAGTCTATAGTCTAGTCTATAGTCTAGTTTAAAGTCTAGTCTATAGTCTAGTCTATAGTCTAGTTTAAAGTCTAGTCTATAGTCTAGTCTATAGTCTAGTCTATAGTCTAGTCTATAGTCTAGTCTATAGTCTAGTCTATAGTCTAGTCTATAGTCTAGTCTATAGTCTAGTCTATAGTCTAGTCTATAGTCTAGTCTATAGTCTAGTCTATAGTCTAGTCTATAGTCTAGTCTATAGTCTAGTCTATAGTCTAGTCTAGTCTATAGTCTAGTCTATAGTCTAGTCTATAGTCTAGTCTATAGTCTAGTCTATAGTCTAGTTTAAAGTCTAGTCTATAGTCTAGTCTATAGTCTAGTTTAAAGTCTAGTCTATAGTCTAGTCTATAGTCTAGTCTATAGTCTAGTCTATAGTCTAGTCTATAGTCTAGTCTATAGTCTAGTCTATAGTCTAGTCTATAGTCTAGTCTAGTCTAGTCTATAGTCTAGTCTATAGTCTAGTCTATAGTCTAGTCTATAGTCTAGTCTATAGTCTAGTCTATAGTCTAGTCTATAGTCTAGTCTATAGTCTAGTCTATAGTCTAGTCTATAGTCTAGTCTATAGTCTAGTCTATAGTCTAGTCTATAGTCTAGTCTATAGTCTAGTCTATAGTCTAGTCTATAGTCTAGTCTATAGTCTAGTCTATAGTCTAGTCTATAGTCTAGTCTATAGTCTAGTCTATAGTCTAGTCTATAGTCTAGTCTATAGTCTAGTCTATAGTCTAGTCTATAGTCTAGTCTATAGTCTAGTCTATAGTCTAGTCTATCTAGTCTATAGTCTAGTCTATAGTCTAGTCTATAGTCTAGTCTATAGTCTAGTCTCTAGTCTAGTCTAGTCTATAGTCTAGTCTATAGTCTAGTCTGTAGTCTAGTCTGTAGTCTAGTCTATAGTCTAGTATATAGTCTAGTCTATAGTCTAGTCTATAGTCCAGTCTGTAGTCTGGTCTATTCTATAGGCCAGTCTATAGTGTAGTCTATGGTATAGTCTAAATATACTCTAGTCTATAGTCTTGTCTATAGTATAGTATTTACTCTAGTCTACAGTCTTGTATATAGTCTAGTCTATAGTGTACTTTACAGTCTAGTCTATAGTCTGGTCTTTAGTCTAGTATATTTTCTAGTCTAGTATATAGTCTAGTCTATAACCCTTCTTAACCTAAACCGTAGCCTAGGATTTAGGCTAGTCCATAGTCTAGTCTATAGTATACTCATCCACTATATGATGCCCTTTGGGACTTGTTGTTGTAACAATTCGACAGTGACTAATAGTTCTTTCTTGAAAAAAAAAACTTTCAAACTGATCGTGGCTGATTTTACAATGTTTGGCCAAGTAGGACTCGAATCGTTCTGGAGCGAAAATCCAATGGTCGTAGGAACGCTCCAAGAAATTAGATAAGAGTCCAGGTATCAGCATACCCAGTTCACTGAGTTATTGGAAATATTGCCAGCACCATTAGGTCTCGCATGCAATGACTCTTTGTACATCTACTCTTTCACTGCTTAAGTTTAACTACGAGTAAGGGAACGCTATTTTAGCTGTCCCTTTATTTTAGGTAGGGAGCAAATATTGTTATTGATACCAGGTTGTTTAATTTAGGAACCAATGAGTAATATCTGCGATCAATAATGATATCAGTAACTTAATGGACACAAGTCAGCTACACGATTGCCATTTAAACCTAACTTAAACTAATCAATTTCAAAAGATTTATGATCGAAAGGCCCTTTCAACCAAACCTACTCAATATGTATGTTAAACGAAAGATATTCGAAAGGCCCTTTGAACCTTACCTAGTCAATATTGGAAAATGTTGTAAAGAATATAGGGATTTTAGTCATATCTCAACTATTTAGCACAAAATTTGGTATTTTTTTCTAAAAATTTAAAAAATGCTTTTTATAAGATTTTGAATGTATTTCTACAACTATTATATGCTAATAAAAGTGCAAATTAAAATCATTTGTTGTTTAAAGTTTTTTTTTTTTATTTTCACACTTTTTCATAACAGAAAACCTATGAATCAATGAGATTTTAAGTTGTTAATGTGTATAATAATCTAACAAAAGCTTTCACAGAATCAGAATTAAAACGTTAATTCAGAAAGCAACATTTTCTCAACAATTTTCAGTTTAATTTCATTTTTAATTTCAAGTCATGTTTTTCATCTCCTCATTTTCATACTTCAAACCCAATTTTCAATAACAAATTTTTAATCTTTTTTTTTTTTTTTTTTTTTTTTTTGAAACAGAGATGCCGACTTAATGCGTGAGAAACAACGAAAGAAAGAGGAGGAAGCTGCTGCAAAAGCTGCAGGCAAAGTAAAATAAAATGAAAAACTTTTTTGACACATTTTAGTGAGGCCATTCATTACAAAAAACAGCCAGAAAAAATTAAAACTATCCACAGCTCTCATAACAAATTCTCTACAAACGAAGTGATTTCCAAAAAAAAAAAAAAACAAGAAACAAAATGTATAAAACTGATAAACATTCTAATACATGTGTTCTTTACACTCTACAAAACAAAAACTATAGTTAATAATTGCTGTTACAGAGTAGTCAAAATATTTCTTTAAAAATCGGCTAAATTCTGTAATAGTTTCAATTAAACAACTTTTCTCCTTTACACACTCACTCCCTCCACTCCATGAATAATATATTCCGTTTTGGTATTACTTTGAAGTTCCTTTAATAAATTCAAATAGAATTATTTATATTTTAGTTTCTCATTAAAATTAATTTATATTTAAACACATACAAAGTACTCCCCCCCCTCCACGATACATTTTTGTATAAAACCTATTCTATAAAGTAAATTTTTAATTAAATTGTCCATCAATCATTTTTTATGAAATCATTCGAAATTGAGAGAGAGAGAGAAAAACAAAAAGAATTGTGTATTAGTGATTAGTTTTAAATAGTTTTTTCTTTTAACTTTTTTTATTTCTTAGTTTTATAAGATGATATTAAGTTTAACAAAAAAAAAGAAAAATAAAAATTATAAATAATTTATATTTAAGTGAATACAAAACTGTAAACCATAAAAAAAATTGTATAAATTATATCGATAATAGAAAAAAGCAAAAAATAGCATAATAATAAAATTTAAAAATATTAAAAAAAAGGAACATTTGTGTGATTTTTCTTAAATAAACATCAAAAATATCAACCCAAGCATATAAAAATTACTTTAAAAAAGAATTGTGTGCTTTTGTTTTAGACCGATACTGTAAAATATAACAACGGGAAAATATAGCATACTTTTAGGAACTGCTTTAAATTACGATCGAGTTGTACAAGTCTACAAAACTGAGCTTCTATAAAGAGCATAATTATTCTGGATTAAAAATATGATGAAAAATAAAAATAAGTCTTTCCATTAAGCAATATGTTGAGATAGTTGCAGCTCTAGTAAAACCTCAAAACACTCACTGCCTCGATTACCTAAAGTGGTTTCTGTGTAATTCCATAAAAAAACACTACTTACCTGCATTCGTTCCTCCTTGTGTAAACGGCTAGAGCTAAAACTATCTGATAGTGCAAAATACCTGAGTGTTATCCTAGATTCAAAACTATCATGGCATATTAACATTCAATCCCCAGAGTGATGAAAGTGGCTGCGGCCCTATACTCATGTAGAAGGGCTAAATGTAAGTCCTGGGATATACACCTAATAATACCAAGTGGCTCATCGACATAGAAATAAAGCTCATATTGTTGTATGATGCACTCGGGTGATGGAAACTTTTACAAAAAGGTACCTACAGCAGGAAATTTGAACGAATCCTCAGTACATCAACATCAATGATTACTTGCGCCCTTCGTACCACTCCATATAGGGCATTTTTTTGCCATCTCAACTGGGCGATTAGACTCCGGACAACCTTTTTGTGGCATATGACTCGGTCAACTCTGCCATACTCAATTGCCTTTGGGAAATGCTAGGCAATATTGACTATTACACCCCTAGACCATCTTTTGAAAAAATCTTGTGATGGATTCGATTCTCCGTACTGGGTCATTTATACTGATGTCTCCAAACAAAAAACGGTGTAGGATGTGGATTTTAAATAGCACATACGGGAACAGAAGTTTCCTTTAAACTTCCTGATCAATGTAGCATTCTGTAAACTGTCTCAGGTTCTATCGAATATACAATGTTGATATTCGAATATACACCTATATAAACTTGGTCCTCAAATGCCGCACATCCCATAAAAAGATGGCGAAATATTCCACAGTAGGATTGCACTGTATCCCAAATTATCAACATATTCCTGGCAGTACAAATACGGATTTCCTTGCGAAACGGGGCTTCTCAGTAGCAAGAGAGCATAACGACAACTTTGTTGACATTCTGCTTTCAAATTGCAAACGTTCGATTCGTGATAAACTCTACGAGCTTGCGCAATCACGATCGTTAAATGTGGGTACCTTTATACAAGCCACAAAGACCTCAAAGCCTTAATAAACACTGCGGGAGCACAGCTACGGAACATTATAGCAGTTGGTAACTGGCCACTAGTGCAAAGAGAGATAAGTGTTTCCCGTAAACCTTCAAGTTACAAACGAGTCATAACTATAAATGATTTCAGAGTTATTGTAAAGCGACTTAAATAGAGTCGACAGTCAATACGGCTGGAGTAGATTACAGTCTAGACGATATAAGAGTAGACTCTAGTCGACTTAGAGTTGAGTCTAGTCGACTTAGAGTAGAGTCTAATCGACACTAAAGTAATGTCCAGTCGATACTAGACTAAAGTCAAATCGACACTAAAGTCAAATCGACACTAGAGTCAAGTCTAGTCGACACTAGAGTATAGTTTAATCGACAGAGTAAAGTCTAATTGTCACTAGAGTAAAGTCTAGTCGACGCTCGAGTAAAGTCAAGTCGAAGTTAGTGTGAAGTCTAGTCGTCACTAGAGTATAGTTTAGTCGACACCCGAGTAAAGTCTAGTCGGCAATGGAGTGAGGTCTAGTCGAATTAGATTAAAGTCTATTCGATACTAGCGTAAAGTCTAGTCGACATTAGCGCAATTCTAGTCGATACTAAAGTCTAGTCGGCAGTTGAATAAAGTCCAGTCGGCAGTAGCATTAAGAGTAGAGTTTAGTCGACAGTGTAAAGTTTAGTTGACACTAGAGTAAAGTCTAGTCGACGCTCAAGTAAAGTCAAATCGACACTAGAGTGAAGTCTAATCGACGAGTAAAGTCTAGTCGACACTGGAGTGAAGTCTATTCGACACTGGAGTAAAAGGTAATCGACACGCGAGTAAAGTCTAGTCGACACTAGCGTAATTCTAGTCGATTCTAGAGTAAAGTCTAGTCGACAGTTGAAAAAAGTCCAGTCGAGACTAGAGTAAATTCTAATCGACTAGATGAGACTCTAGTCGACATAAAGTAGTGTCTAGTCGACACTCGAGTAAAGTCAAGTTGACATTGGAGTGAAGTCTAGTTGACACTAGAGTAAGGCTTAGTCGTACTAGAGTAAAGTCCAGTCAAAGCTAGAGTAAATTTTAGTCGACTAGATTATAGTCTAGTCAACACTAGAGAAGAGTCTAGTCGACATTAGATTAGAGTCTAGGCGACACTCGAGTAAAGTCAAGTCGATACTGGAATGAAGTCTAGTCGAAACTAGAGTAAAGTCTAGTCGGCACTAGAGTGAACTCTAGTCGCAAATAGAGTAGAGTGTTGTTGGCTAGAGTAGAACCTTGTTGACTACAGTAGAGTCGATTCGACTAAATATAGCCGATTTTAATAGAATATAGACGCATTTCAACAATTGTGTCACTGTTTAAGAAATTATAGAAGATTTTTATACAACTTGATCACAGATTAACATTAGAATGAAAGGTTTTCCTTATTTTACTTTTATAAAGCTAAAGAGAAATCTGTGGACTTGAACAACTTTCAAGCAGTTTTAAATTTCCCAACTTCATTAACAAGTATTTTCCTTACACAAATCTCAACGCCTTCATAATTTATGAAGCAATAATTTGTACTCATTTCGTTTATTATTAAAAACTCCACATAGTGTTCCACAAACAGTAAATGCATAAGAAGTAGCAATTGCTTACAAAAGCAAAATTACACTTTTTCTAAATTCATGGAAATGTTAAAATACAAGTGACAAAATGTCTACTAACTAAACTTATGACGAAGAAAACAAAGACAGCGCGCGAGTGTTTAAATCTCCAACAAATGTTTAACAGTTTTAAGTGTTCAAAACTACAAAACATTTAATTCCAGGAATAAATACACTGGTCTAGAGAAATTTAAATCCAAATCAACTGCAACATAATAACAACAATAGCAGAAGTAATAACAACTACAACAATTATAGGAAAACTATGTCCAGCACTACATTGTCTAACTAAATATGCCACAAATGAAATATTTACAATAAACAAATAAAACTGAAGAGAAAAAAAAATTGCCACAAAATATAAGAGACATCAGCACGCAAACCATAAAAAGATATTGAGGCCAACCAAACCAAACAACCAGCCAGCCATTCAATCCATTCCAACCAATTGCAATCAAAATCTTTTCTTTATTTTTATTCAATAGTAAATAGTAGTGGGAAATATTATGCCTAACGGAATCTTATCATATAAATAAGGACATCTACTAGTACGAGTATTAAGAAAAGAAAACAAAAAAAAACAAAATATATTTTCAAGAAAAACAACAATAACTAACAGCAACTAACTGCTACAGCATTCAAAACTAAATAAGGTATTTAGAATTAATATTAAAGCCAAGATTTCAACTGAAAAAAAAGTTACCAACAACAACCGCCGATACAAAAGAATCTTAAACAACTATTGACCATGATGATGATAGCTCTTCGTTGAGATGGTCTGCTGGCATAGACGTCTAAACTTAACATGATCACATTGTGTCTAATGTAACCACTTGTACTAAAAACATTGAAGACAATCTCTGTCTATTGTGACTTTACGAAATGTTTGGTGACACCAAATTTTGATGGCTGTTGTTTTGTTTTTGTATACCCTATGGAATTGTATAGGTTCCTTGAGTTTTATCATTGAGTTGATTTATAGAAATTTTCACTAGTTTAATGGTATTTTGCCCATCTTAATGTATACCAATCTGCTCTGAATCACATTCTGATCGGCTATGCCATATCCCCTAATCCTCCGAGCACACCTGTGCAACAAAATTCGAAGTAGGAACAAGGTACTTAACTCTCCAGCCGGCAGCATTTTAGAAATAGATAAAGAAACCTTTTTAATTATCTACCAAACGTGGTCAGTGGTAAACTACTCCGTGCCAATGTGGACTCCGAAAGTTAGGGGCACGCAGTGGAAGAAGCTTCAAAGCTGTTAAAACACAGCCCTTAGACCCGTAACGAACTGTATTTAAATGACGTCAAAAGAACACCTACATCACAAGACGAAGATACTTTCGGTTAAGGAACATAACACCATGCTATCAAAAAAGTTCCTACTGAGATGTCTTCGAATATTCC